ATACTTATATAAATTTTCTCATATGATTAAATCATAGTACCTACGAACCAATGTAATCATGAGTTGTGCATTTAAAACAACGAAATGATGTATCGATATTCTCTTCCAATATTAGTACCAAACATTCTGGACAGAAATGATTGGATAACGCTATAAAAGTTTGCAAACCGAAGGATATTATATTGGGTGATAAAGTAAGTATCTTCTATGTTTAAAACTGAGCAAGTGAATGTTTATCCAAACAGCGTTTTTACCAAAGAGTTAAGAAAACATGAAGTTTCAGAATGTTTGATTCCAGCACTCGTATTGAAATTATTTTAAGCACTTGGTTTATAGAAACTATCACATTCTTGTCTACAACATCGTATCTGATCTGTTGTTTCATACAGATCTAGCGGACAAAATCCACATGGTTAGCTTTTGTATTTGTGTTTTGAATTATTTATATTCTGGCTTAAAATGAAACTGAATAGAAGTAAGTAAAGGACATAATATTCCAGTATGGCAACGGGAATATTATATGCCATTCATTGAAAGTTTAAAAAGTCAATTATCAGTGCCGGAGATGATCGATATAATGTACTTTTCTTCTCTTTCAGTTTAACTGGTTTCTGCGGAACAAGGATTGACCAAGACACTGCCACCTAGTAATCGTATCAAAAGCATCAATGTAGAACCATGTTCTGTATTATAATCAGACAATTTACGATCATCTTGTAATGTTTTACCAGCATATATCAAACGCTGCTGAGCAAGCGGTACACCTTCACGGTCATAAATTTTTTGTTTTATTCTGAGAACAGTGTCGTCCGGTGCAGCCTAGAACTTAAAGAAAGTTATTGTTTCTGGACTAGAGAGCAGATGTAATTCTTACTTCGATCGATATTGATTTGTCGGTCAATGTTTTTACGTATAACTGCATTTTGTAATCTAAAAGACAATAGCTAAGTGGATCCAAGCCGTGGAATAGAATTGCAGCTTCTCTCAAACCAGAGATGATCCTCAACCTCATTCATCTAATGTTAGAATGTATACATCTGAAAGTTAAGTAGTTTAAATGAATTCATTTCTCAAATAAAATATCGGAAAACATTACAGTTTACAAATAAAGTTACACATTTACTGTTTGAAACCATAAAGCAGTGAACATAAGGGAAAAGCTGTGTACTAACTACATTTACTCAAGGTCAGGTGCCATCATCGTGTCTTTGTACCCCGCCTTTGTCCAGTCAGGAGTAACAGTACCCTTGCCAATAATATTACAGAAGAACCGGTTAGCTGCTTCTTGAATCATTTCATCGTGGTGATCGGTCAGTGGATCAATAGAAATCAATAACTGTTGTTTTTCTTTCATACTTTTGTATTCTGAGCAGGTTATATTAGCGAATAGATTAAGGACGGTTATGATACACAATTTGTCTGTATTTTGCATGCCACGCTTCAAAAGTCCCAATAGTTGATTGATGACTGAATCGAACGTTAAAAGTCGACGAATATCAACGACACATGATGCCAAATTCGCAATAACACCACACGCACGCCATGCAATATCAACGTATGTCGAATTCAACGATTCAATTAATATATTAATATCTATTACGCTGTGAAAAAATTTTTGAGATGACTCATCATGACGACCCGTAACCCAAAGTGCTCGTAAAAATAAAATACGAATAGTATCATTTTGATGTTTTAACAACTCATGAACTTTCGTGTGCCCAATACTGGTCAATAACTGTCGTAGCATGATAATTGCGAACGGTTGTAAAATATGGGCAACATCACCGATGTATTGTAGAGCGGCTTTACACTGATTGTCTGTTCCACGAACGGCTTGTTTTAAAAGCGCATGATTTGGCTCACAAACGTCCATTTGTAGAATGCTATCAATAATCCTCTTTTCATTTGTGTCACTTTCATCGATAATATCATAATCAATGATACAAAGCGGCAGACATTGCTCGCTACGGTACACAGTCCATTCTTGATTAACTAAGCCGCTTTCATCATTTTTAAAATACACAGTGTCATAACCAGATTGATGCATTTTTTGTACAGTAAGATCAGTGTCCGACGCTTTCATTTCTCGTACTCGACCTAACACACAGTCTGTTAATATCAACACATTATTTCCGTATTCCGTTGCCTTTTTACCATGTGCAAAATAAATACCAAGGCCAAATTTGAATTGTCCTTCTTTCCCATCCTCTTGTGTCCTATGTTTCGAGGTCGGCAGCCGAAAGCCAGTGGCTGTTATACCTAGTGCCGATTTACGATCAGTGCCGTGTAAAAGCGTGACAACTGGTGAGTTACCACCACGCAATTGCCGTTTGCAGGCATCAAATTGATCTTTTAACTTCAGATTAAACACTTGTTCAACTGAGTTTATTTTTAATTTCTGTTGTACAGAAGTATTATATTTTCTGAAAGAGTTTTGCACAAATTCTGCTATTTTCTGATTCATTTCTGTTTCGGTTGAGCTTAGTAGTTTAAGAATAGCGTCGAGAGAACGATCATTCCACATTTGCTGCCAATTAGGAGGCACAGCATGTTCGGCATTGCATGTCGGACACTTTACGCTAGCTGAGCCGCTCGTTTTAATCCACGTTTCAAGACATTCAGCACAAAATCTATGGTGACAAGGTGCAGGCAATGTTATGGGACCACTAATCAAACCTTGGTGGATTGCACACACAAATTCTTGCCGAATATTTTCGGCTAATCCAATTGATGGTGCCAAAAAACGCTCGAGATCAGCAGCATCTAAAATGTTTTATATTTATTGCATAAAAATTTCGAAGCCCAGAGAGAAAGAAGTAGGATGAGGCTGAGTAGTCGAATAGATGTTTCTACTCATTTTCGAGATGAATGCAACTTCTGTTTAGTTTCGGAATGAATTCAGCTGGATTGAATTTGTCGACTCCAGTTACCGATTGGGTTCTGACATTTTCACCTAAAAATGTGACCGTTTCCGACAAAACATTGACTACTGACGCTCACAATCTAGAATCCTATGATAAAGTGTATCGCAATCCGATGCTAATGATTCGAGTTCACACCCATCCTGCTAAATCATGTGATGACATAACAGAAAAACACAGTCATATCGACCATTCTTGCGCAACGTTCTTACGTTTTCTTTTCTCACATAATTTATATTCATTCTAACTGCATGACCTGTATCGAGTTGTGGGTAAAAAATTTCCATTTGCCCCTGATCGGGTAATTCGATTGTGCCTATGTCAGGCTGCAAGTTTCCCAATTTTATCTAGTTTTTCTTAGCCTGCTATGCGTCATTCGGAAACTTTATGAGTCCTGAGTTTTTCTATCTGAAAGAGCATGAAAAGTAGCACATTTCAGCTCGAAAATAAATGTTTATGTTAGTTTTGGGCTAAATTTTGCCTTGTAAAAATATCACGAGAAGATTAATTTTTTAGACCACTGTCTTTTCTTCGCAGACGGAGCAATACAGCAGGCCGTTAACAACTTTCGTTCTCTGCCTTGTCTCCTTGGAAATCACATGCCAATGAAAATTTTTCGCAAAATAGTACTCATCAAAATATGTCAAACAATTATTTCATTCGATAGAGAATACTATTGCTGTCTTTTGTTTTTTATCGAGGAAACAGGTGGGCTTTGAAGGATTTGCTGTATTGTACAGTCTGTGAAAGTGATCTAAAAAATTAACCTTTTCATCATATTTTTACAAGTCAAAATTTTGTCCAAACAGCTAACATAAATATTTATTGTCCGGCTGAAATGTGCTACTTTTCATGCTCTTTCAGATGGAAACACTCAGAACTCATAGAAGTTTCTGAATGCCGCATAGCAGGCTGTGAAAAGCACATGCTATGCACAATACCTTATATATATGTTTGGTATATATATATATGTATAATATGGAATGAGGGGGAGAGTGCCTTTAGATAGCTAAAATACTCTAAATATCTTAGATATCTAGGGTACTAAGATACCCTAGATACCTAAGATGCAAAACAATGAGTGCGCAGCGAACTCAAATTGTGCACGATATCGAAAATCATCTAAAACTGGGAAACTTGCAGCTTGATATAGTCACTATCGAATTACCCTATTAGAGGCAAATGTGAATTTTTAACCACAACTCGACACTGGTCATACAACTACCATAATGCGATTTTGTCGGCATTTACGTCATGTAAAAAGAAAAAGTCGGCTGATCCATGTAAAGATGTCAATATTTCACGATCAATCGAATAACAGATCCATTCCACCAGTCAGGATGAAGGGAACTAAACAACCAATCAATATAAAATCTTAGTTGAAGCAGAAAGGATAGGATAGTTAGCTATTAACTAGATTCTTGTAATTAATAACATATTGATTAAAGTCATCAATGGACGTCGTAGTAATTATATTAGAATACTAGAATATGCAGCAGACATGGCTAACAATGCACGCAGGTCTCGAAAACAAGTATCTACCACCTTGTGGGGATAACGACGAAAAGCTCAAAACATCCATATTCTCTTCAGATGTCTATCTCTGAAATGGTGTTCAGTCAAAATACCTGTAAGAACCCTACTTTTATTATGTGCTTGAAAGTTTGACGAAATATATGACTGATGGATCCGCGGCGAGTCACCTGGCGCATGATCCAGAGTTTGAATACGATGAATTACCCCTTCATATTCTTCTTCCCAGTCCCTCAATTTCTCTGTTTTATATTATGCTAAAGAATTTAATGCAAGCCAAAAGCGTGATAAAAACTAACCTCTGCTATAGCCGTAAGCCATGTTTCAATTTGATCAAAACTGATTCTTAGCACAATAAGATTAGCCAATAATATATCTGAAAATACAAAGGAAAAAATATGTCAGTTTTTTTCGGTTCACAGCACTTTCGTCACCATAACTTTCGTCATTAGGTAACAGTGAATTTTCGTTACATGACGAAAGTTCTGTTTTCCAGTGACAAAAATTCATGGTGTGAAGGCCGGCATGTAACAATAGTTTAACCATGTTTACATAGTGGTTACGAAAGTTAACCCCTTTTGTGACGAAAGTTCGTTTTCGGTTATGACGAAAGTGTCCGGTTTTTTAGGTAGATGACACAGTACTTTCGTCACAAGTTGCATGAAACAGCTGTGATGAAATCAAGGTTTCAGTGCAAAATTCATTAGTCCAAAGTATTGTAGTGTAAACTGGAGTAGTCCAATCTGCAGTAATACAAACTATAGCAGTGCAAACTGGAGTAATAACTTCTTGCTTTTTTCTTTACAAACATTGCATTTTCTTAGCCAAACATGTAAAAAACGCTTTTGAAGTCTTTTTCTAAAGTCAAAGTATTCAAATCAAGCATCTATTGCGTTTGGGAGTAGTTCGGTCTGGAGCAGTCCCTATTGCCGCAGTTCAAATTTAAGTATCCAAATACAAGCAGTTCTTTTGTGACGAAAGTTCGTTTTCGGTTGTGATGAAATTGTCCAGGTTTCTAGGTAGGTTGTACAGTACTGCCGTCACAAGTTGCATGAAACGGCAGAAATACAGAATTATAACGGCAAGAAAACAACGTTTAAGTCTACTGCTAACTTTCGGTGAGGGTGAGAGTAAAATCTTTCCATTTTATACTGCGCATCAACCCACCAGAGTTTGTGTACTTTCGTCACATGTTAAAAACGACAAAATAAAGCGTTGTTGTGCACGTGAACTTTCGTCACACGTTGTAACGCGTTATTTGCCGTTACGTTATTAGTGTAACGAAAGTTCTGTTTGGGTTGTGACGAAAGTTCACGATGGGGCGTGACAAAAGTTCTAGGTATGTTACACAGTTGGTTATGAAAGTTCACCATTCTTGTGACCAAAGTGTGAAGTGGTACCCCCAAAAATACCATACACTTTCGTCACGTATGACGAAGGTTCTCTTTTCTATGTGACGAAAATTAACGTGACGAAAGTGCTATCACCCTTTTTTTCACTGTATTGCAGCAAAACAAAGACGGTCAAAAAAGCAAATACAATACGTTCTTCCGACAACAAACAACAATGATGCTGAATTTTGACGTTGGAAATTTTTATGCGACATTCTGTGAATTTTTTTAATAGAATAGTCATATGTAGAATACTCTGAGGCATCGAAAATAACTGAAAATAACTGAAACATTTAAGAATGCGTTGCACCTTTATTTCTTAATGAATTTTAAAATCTTTCAGATGTTTTAATTTGGAATAGTGAGTCTCCATAAAGAGATAAATTTCTTTTTAAAGAGGCAATAAGTAAAACTGGAAAATTGAACAGAAATAAGAGTTTGTCAAGCTTGAACAATGAAGAGACAAAGCTAATGAAGTTCTAGAATGTCCTATAGTATCGTGCATGAACCGATAAAATCATAAATAAGATGATATGATAAGAGTTATGCTGAAGAAGTGACGTAATAATTAAGTTTGATTTTAAAAATAGTAGCATAAAGGGTGGCCCAGAAGTTCTGACTCGATTTGAATAATAAATTTTTCTATAGTGAAACAAGTGGCTGTAAATTTGTCTCTATGAAGAAACGATGCAGTAAAAAACGCTCTACAAGATAACTATTGATTGACCCTGTTAGCTCATCTAGTAAGAATGTTATAGGCTTAGAAATGTGCTTCACAAAAAAGAAAAATCAACCGTGAACCCGGTCCATATGGTGGTGCTTTCAGTAAAAGTCTCATAACTTCATCAAAACAAAACGTTTTTCGATCGGGTTTGTTTTGCTTTGATCAGAAATGATTGCTCTTCTCTACCTAGTTGCAACATCAAAACTTCGATCACGTTTTCGGTTTTTTGCTGGGTACACTGTTGGAAACGGGGTTGTCGATTTTTGACATATTTTTGAAACTTGATTCTCGAGCACACCATCTGCTCTAAAAAGTCTTTTTACAAACCACAAGAAAGAGCACATTTGAAAGTACCCAACACAAATTGTGTTGTCGCTTTTGCTCCGCTTTTTTTACGGAAATAATAGGAGAAGAAGAAGGTTAAGTAAAACAAACCAAATTTACAAAGTCTTTATTTTTTTCGCCTCGTGTATAATTTGCTTAGTTTTCTTGATTAAAGTTCTAAAGTTAAAGTTTAGGTACGGATTTTGTAGAGAATTTCATGACGATTCTATTAAAAAAAGAACGTATTCTAGGGAATAGGAGGAGGAGGAACTTTCCTAAGGAATAGGAGTTAAAACAAAAATACCGAGACCGGATTCACGGTTGATTTTTCTTTTTTGTGAAGCACATTTCTAAGCCTACAACATTCTTACTAGATGAGCTAACAGGGTCAATCAATAGTCATCTTGTAGAGCGTTTTTTACTGCATCGTTTCTTCATAGAGACAAATTTACAACCACTTGTTTCACTATAGAAAAATTTATTATTCAAATCGGGTCAGGACTTCTGGGCCACCCTTTAATGTACCAGGAGAGTGTGTTAAGTTCGAGTTTCGGTAGGGATAGTACTGGATTTGTTTTCTAATGCAACACGCTGTCCTAAGCCCATTTTCGTAACATCATTAATCCAAACGGACATGTTTTAGTAAATTATTAATGAACTAGTAGTTTATTGCACGATGGTATCCTGCCGTTATAATGTACCGCTCCTATATCGTCGTTCGCTCAAACTTTAGTAGAAACTGACTCCGCTTGGAATTAAAGAATATATGGGACACTTACCTGAATTTTTCTAACTCTTGTTTTCGCAAACACTTTTAATTAAATGAGGTAGAATTTATTTGTAGATTGATGGAAAATCGCGTAGGTAACTATGGTTTTTTCCTAACTCTAATGTTTAACTTATGTATACTTGTACTGCACCGTTTAATATGAATTTTTTGTCTTTTTCTTTGTTTTTGTAACTGAAAATAGTATTTTATCTACTTACACCTACTGACGATCAGCTTGGTTTGAATAACTGAATCTGTTGTGCACTTTTATCAGACCTGAATCAGACTTGATTAAAATGCATCTCCTGATTATCTTCTCTATGTTCTTCAGAGATGAAAATTCTGAAAAAACCATTCGGTCTGTGTATCATGACGGAATCAGGACTCGACTTATTGGAAAAGACAATTTTCGAAATTCCATAGCGGATTCTGTTCAGATTTTTCAGCTCGAATTAGTTATTAAAAGGAAAAGCTTCCTCTAAATAACAAAGATTTCTAAACTTTCGAATAGTACAAGCATTAGATAAATTTAACTATCACAAATATTCAAGAACATTGTTACCAAGAATAGAAAGATATTACCGTTACTATTTAATCGCATTCTCTAAGTCCTCAGCATCATGCGGTTTGAAAAAAACAAAGTTTTTTTGTTACAAAGGATCCGACAATAAACCATGATTCTTCATTTCTTCAGTTCTTCCAACAATAAACCATGATTCTTCATTTCTTCAGTTCTTCCAACAATAAACCATGATTCTTCATTTCTTCATTTCTTCCAACAATAAACCATGATGACGCATTAAATGCAGGGAAGCGTTTTATAATTTTTGTTCTTCATTTTT